TGTCCTCTATTATATGTGCCATCACCTAGAATATTCTTGGTAATTAATTGCAATTGTATTACCTGGAGAATGCTTGGCAAGGGACAGGTGGCAGGAAAACTAGAAATGGTTCCTAAATAGTTGAATATTGAGAAATAACACAATAAGGATTCTAACTTTTAAAAGTTACTAATTAAAAATCTAAACATTTTTATTGTTTCTAATAGAAGATCTCAACTTTCTCGTTTTCCTTTTTAACAACTCAAATTCATCAATTATACATATAAGACTTTTTTGAATGGAACGCTACTGTTTTTAATTCTGTCAAAGTATAATTAAGTGTTAACTTGTCAATAAAAATTGCTTTGTCATACTATTCGATGTTTTAAATTAGTTAGGGTTCTTAAACTAAAGATATTAATGCCATTATCAAAAAGGTTAACTTTGTTATGAATTAATTTATTGTGGATGTTTCACTTTCTTCATTTTCTCACTTCCCAATTTTCCATGACATTTATACACCAAGTAATGGTGTAACTTCCATTACCTCCATGCAATTACAATGGTGCCATGCATTTAGATGGTGATAATGAGATATCTTTTAACCTTTCTATTAGTAGAAGATTAATCATTGTAACCTCCCATTTAGTGAATGTTTATTTCTTATAACTTTTATCCTTTATTGGTCCCCTATATATAGGGCTTGTATTGTTGTAAATGTATAGAAATTATATGCAAAACAAATGAAGGAGAAAGGAATAGAAACATAATATATCTTTGCATTGCCTCACTTCATCTCTCTACTTTCACTTTTTCTTCTAATTGATTCTTTTTTTATTTTACAATATGTTATCAATATGACTTGCTTTTATATGAATTATCATTCATGAATTCTATTTGAGGTGATGAACTACTTGAGGTAAAGATCTAAGTTGAGGTAAAGTTTTGAAATAATATCAATCTAGTCTTTCAATTTCTTGTTTTATAATTTAAACATTCTATGGTGCTATAATGATTTTTCTTGTTTATATGCTATTTTGCACTGTCAAAAAAAAAAAAAAAAGATTTGAGTTCATTGCCATGATAAAAAAAAAAAAGATTTGAGTTCATTGCCATGATAAATTGGGCTCTAACTATTTATCATGAACTCTTGATGTAAAAATTCATTTATTTCCAATGAATTTTGAAAATTCAATTATAGAAGGGAATAAAGTATCTCTTGAAGAAAAAAAATATTCTTGCAAAAAGAAAATATTCTTGTAGAAAAGGAAATCCTTGAAGGATTGCGATGAAATTTTTTCATTATGAAGTCCAATAAGGACTAAGAAATGAATATTTGATGATAAATGATTCATTGGAATTATGGAATTATTTGGAAGAAAGATGATCATCGAAAGAAAATTGCAACTCTTTCAAAAGTTAGCTATGAATGGATCCATTTATTATTCAAATATAAATATGCAAATATTTTAAATTATCTTGTGCAAAGAAAAAATATTATTAATGAAAATATATAAGAGAAGATACATTCTTTGTTTAATTCCTCAAATATGTTCCAAAAGTAACAATCTTGAGAGTCTAATTTAATATGTATATTCAAAGTAAATACATGTCTTCTAACAAATTTTGAATTAAGGAAAAATTATCAATCACAATCATTGGTTTAATTTCATTCCATGAAGAGAACATGATATCATATTATATGAAGTCACTACAAGCAAAATATTCTTTACCAACGGAAGTCTATACTAACGGATTAAAATCCATTTGTATACATTGGTCTATACCAACGGAAAACATAAGAAATCAGTATACATGAGTCTATATCAATGGAAAGCATAAGTAGTCAGTATACACCGGTCTATACCAACGAAAAAATATAATCATTAGTATAGATTGAATTTATACAAACAATTTACTAATTTATCTGTCTATATAAAATATATATATTCTAATGATAATAATTTTTCATTTGTATAAATCTATCTATACAGACGGATAAACCTATTCTGTCTGTATAATTCACCCTTTCTTAATCACGAATTTTTTTCCTCTTTTATTTTTGTCGTCTATATACAGTTTCCTTTCCCTCCACATATTCCCAATTTTTGCTCCCCAAATTCTGAGTTTCCCTCCCTCGGTAACCCTAAGTATTTCCGTCCATCTCCTAAATCTCCAAAATTTGGAATCGATTTTCCTAAAACTCAAAAACCA